AGACGCAAGACTCAAGACCCAAAACCCATCAACCCATCATCATCATCATTGGCAGCACACACCTTCATTAGGCGGGCTGCATTTTACCACACTTGAAATCGCAACACAATGAATAAATCTGCATAATTAATTCCCACCTAAGATGCTGAGTTAATGAGTTGGGTGTTTTGCACCGAATTGAAGGCAACAAACACGCACAGGTTGTTGACTTCTTCAATGCTTCGCCAGCTCACTTTCGATTTCGATTGCGGTACGGTTTTCGGTCCAGCTTGGACACACATAAAATCCACACGCCGCCTAGATGTATTTTTACCCTGTAGTTCGCCGGGACTGGTCCCGAACTAGCGAAATCGCCATACACCGGGGGCTTAGGACTAACTCCCGTTCATACCACCCGCAATGTAAATTTCTATCCACTTTTACCACGGCATGTCCTAGGCGGTGGTCATATGGCGAAGTTCTGCATTACCTTTCGCCACAAAAGGGACCGATAGGTGGTCCCATATTATACCCCTTTTCGCCACAAAAGGGGCCACCTATCGGACCACCTATCGGTCCCTTTTGTGGCGAAAAGGGGTATTAAATGGGACCACCTATCGGTCCCTTTTGTGGCCAAAAGGGGTATGAAATGGGGTTGGTGTTTTCAATACCAAAAAAGCTGGATGCTATGAAACTTCCCAAGAAAAAATACTTTTGTTAAATTAATTTATTGTATTATAAGTAGACAATTTTTCTATTTATTTAATTTATATTTATTGAACAAATTCCTCTGCTGACACGTTTTTGTTGAGTTCCTCATTGTTGTTATTATTTGATTTGAATTTATTTTTAAAAAATCGTTTCTTTTGCAATTGAATTGCCTTGGGAATCAATATTTCTGCATTACCAGATTCTGAAACAATATCTAAAAAAAAATAAGATTTTAGTGTTTTAAAATAAAATGAGAACAGAAACTAACTTCGGCAAGCCAAAGTTTTAATACCCTTGCAGCTTTCAGGTATAAAATTGTGACTAGAAAAGCATAAATATAAAATAAGAATAACCAACAGTTCAATGTAGATTTATTTCTCGCTTTTGAAACTTGAACCGACAGACAGACGGACATGGTTAAATGGATTTACTTTATAGGTTTGAAAAGGTCTCCTTTACTGCGTAACAAACTTCTGGACTAAATTATAATTCCCTCTGCATGGGTTTAAATATATATTTTTCGATTTTGTTATACAAGCCTCTTTACATCAAACCATGTTTTAAAAGTGAAAAGCAGAAAAAGACAGAAAGAAATAGGATTAAAGACAGATGGCATTCTAAGTAAATAGATTGAAATTGAATCAAGAAACTAAGTGTATTATAAAAAATACAGTTATAAAAATAACCTACCGTGAAGTGCACCATAGAAATGTGTAAAGGAGTTTACGGCTTTTTTTTTCCAGACAGGCCCCTAACATTAAATCCCACAACAAACTCATCTGTGAGAACCCTCCGCAAGTTTTTTAAACCCCCTTCTGGCAGCAACAACGATCTCATGGCTTTAATCTAAAAAGGAAGAAAATTTCACTAAAATATTTATATCAAAGAAAAAAGACTTACGTAGGAGTCCTTTGCACCACTATTTCTCCTTCTCCTCTTTAACAAATCGACGAATGTGCCTGTTGCTGTTCATGGCTAAATATCACACATTATTAGGTATTTCACTTGCACAACTCATGGTGTTACTCACCTGTTGACGACACTTCAGATCACAACAAAATATAACACTTTAAATGTACAATAAGACAAATTAAATACAATGTTTACAAAATTTGGCGCAAACGTTGGGTTAGTGATGGTAGCGGGGTTGGGTAGTTATGGCAATCCGTTACGATTAATATTGCGACTACCGATATCGTATAATCGATGGCAATAAAAACATTCGCTAATATTATTTTTGTTTAGTTCTATGTATATAAAATTAGGTACTTATATATTTATTTTATATATCTAAGCACCAATAAAATCCGCTTGTTATGGAAGGAAAGAAAACGTTTTGCTACTGAACCACCGCTATTGTTAAAAATATTGCTGCAGCTAAATTGCTCATTATTAAATATAAATAATATAAAAAGAAATAAAATTCTATCATTTATTATTTTATTTTATCTCATTATTAAGTTTTTATTTTATTATTTTAACTTTTTTTAAATTTGTTTTTTATATAAACAAAATAAAGTTGTATTCGTTATTAAAATCATTATATAGTTGTCAAAAATTTCATTTTACAATTTTTTTACCTCATATAGAAGTGTTCACATAGAAGTGTTCCCTCTCCGATAACTCTTTTGCTCTTGTAAAAAATACACACGCCACCTATTGACCCTTAAGGGACCACTGGGTGGTCGATCCCTTTTCTACCCCGAAAGTGCCACCGGCCCCCTTGAGAACTACAGGGTAATTATGGCCATTTCACGTGGCACTAACACTGGCACCCTCGGCAACCGAGATCCCAAATAATACCAAAAAGCTGAAGAGCTGTAAAGCAGGAAAGCAGAAGCAACCCCGTTAAGCGGAGATTTGATTTGCATGCGAAATGTGCCGAAAAATGGCACAACCCTGATGTATTTTTAATTATATTTGCCAGGCCCAATTTGTAAATGTCATTAAACGCAGCTGGCCTGCATTTAGTGGCAAGTTCAGTTCCCAACGGAGCCAAGGACAAGCCCATTGTTATCGCCCGGACATCTCTGAGTTTCTCCCTTTATCAAAAGGCCGGTTAATGTATTGAACACGATTCGAATCGGATCGAATTCGATTTTCGTTTTAGTTTCAGTGTCAGTTTCAGATTCAGTTTCAATTTCAGTCTCAGCTTGGGTTTTCGGTTTCTTTCTCACCATAAAACACTGTTGCCAAAAAGAAGACAACGCAAAACGAATGAACGCACCCCGGCAGAAACTGGGTTATAACCTTGAAATCTCGCAGACAAAAGATACGCTTTTAAATTGCAGCTCCTCTATAAATTCAGCGGACTTCGGCGGGGAAGAAAGCCGAATTAATGCGACAGGTCGCAGCCCTGCCAACAATTTATTCAAAATCAATTCAAATCTATGCTGAGCTGAGCTTAGCTCAATGAAAATGCTAAACACCGACTCGGAATCGTTTTGAAATCGCACACCGAGTGTTGCCAAAGTTGCAGGCGGCTGCATTTCGAATTGCCAAAGGTCAGGCCCCAGTGCATGCCATCTTCCCCACCGGACAGTCCAGTTTACTGCCGCCGGTGGTGCTGATTTCTGTACTAAAGACTAAAGATCGGCGGTGCTGTGCTGCCGCTGTGTCGTCATCGTTGTCATCACGGTTGCCCCACCAAAAGCCGTTTGGCAACCACTGGCGGCGGGGAAAAAAACAATTAACTATATAACGAAAATTTGTTCAAATTGTGACTGTGCGAGAGTGAAAGAAGAGAGGAAATCGAAAACTGGATTTATAATTTTACGGCCAAACACGCAAGAAAACGAGCCAAGGTCATTGCGAAGAAATTGTGAGGGAAACGTCCACAGAAACAAAAGTTTCCTATAAAGCCAGCTGATGATGAAATAAAAATTTCCCAGTAAATTAAGAAAGTAAATTATATCATATCGTTCTAAAGTTATCTTTAGGGGAGAGATCTAAATTTGCACCATGCACAAAGAATATGCAAAAAAAAATGTTCAATATTTTTTAAAATTTAGTAAATAGAGAAAATCATTAATTGTTTTTCTAGTAAAATAATGTACAATGTACACTGTACATGTACACTGTACATTGTACCTATATACAAAAAAAATTGTTTATATAATAAAGAAAAGCAAAATGACATTTGAAAGACTCGAAAAAACATTCAAGCCGAGCTCCGAAAAATCTCATATTCTTAATATATTACTCATCAAAAGTGCTACTGAAAATAAGTAAATAGTTCTTATTTAAGTTTTTCCCTGTGTCTTGGATTCGTGGAAGTGGAAGTTTCGCGCTTGTTTTTGTTGACTGTTTGGCCGATCTGGCAGAACCACTTTGGAGTTATTTGCTGTTTTGCCCACTTGCAATTGCGTCGATGAAGATCTCTACATCGGACTGGGATGATGCGACGTGTTTTGTTAAACATGTTTTGCTCACTGACAGAGCCCGATACCCAAAACCCGAATCCGGTTGCTTAAAAATGCGTAAAGTGGGACGATGTCGCTCCTTTACAAGCCGGCCGACCAGAAAAGACATTATTAAAAGCCCGACAAGTGGCCGGGCAAAATGCCAAAACAAAAACACAAAATCAATTAACGGCATTCAATAGCAGCACAATCCCAGTGATGGTTTTGTGTGGCCCCGTTGGCAGGTGTTGATCAATAAAAGTGCAACTGGGCAGCTGGCCCATTGCCATCGATCTGCGATCCACGGACCGTTGCGTAATCTTTACTGAAGTTCTTTGCGCAATCGAATCCGAAAGCTTGACCAAGTCTCCTTGATTAGGGCGTTCTTATCAGCGGATTATTGGGCAGCCAAGTATCAGTTTGAACTTGAGACGAAAATGGGGTTATCAATTACGAGGGAAGCACACTAGGGAAAAAAAATGAAATTTAAAAAAACACTGATTATATTTTTATAAATTTTTTAAACTTGTTTCAAATCAAAACATACAACTATTTATTTTTTCACGAAAGAGGTCTTTATAAGCCTTATCCGTATACCACACATAACATTTGCCTTATTGCCGTTGGAATGGAAATTACTGATTAGTTAGCTAAGTAGACCTGGAACAGAGAAAACAAGTTCGTTTAATTACCAAACCTGATAATTTAACATAAAACTAAAATTGAAGAATACCATCTTGTTCCTAGTGCCTCCTCCTGTGCCAAAACATTCCATGTTTAAACTTTGTTTTTATTTCGCCCTTCAATACTTAAATTCGCTTCTTTTTTCAGTACATTTTATTTTTCCAACTATGAATTAATATTTTTTTTAGTGTTATTAACAAACGGCATCGAGGTGGTTGGTCATTTTTTTGCCTGAGTTTCGCTATTTAATCTAGTATAGAACGTGTAAGAAACTACTAGAAAAAGTAAAGAATTTGAAAGGCATGGAAATGAGGACTGGATTATTTTTGGCAATATTTCTGTGGCTTTCTGTGGTGAGCTAAGAGTGTCTGTGGCTAAAGAGTAGGAAATCGCACTTCAATACACATATTACATGATTGTTAGAATGATAGCCTGGCCTTACTGCCGCACGAGGGCGAGACCATCGAGAAGTGCATTCTGAGCTATGGTGGACTTACTGCGGAGACTGCGGAGCGACTCGAACGATTCAAGGAATGGTCGGAGGACTACGAGGAAATTCCCTGCTTCACGCGGTGCTACTTGGCTGAAATGTTCAACTTCTACAACAATAGTACGGGTTTCAATAAGGCCGGAGTTGTGAAAGCCTTTGGAAATCCCGTCTACAATGCGTGTCAGAAGAAATTGGAGCTGCCAGGTGGATCCAGTGTGAGCACCTGCCAACATGCCTACGAGGGCTTTCACTGCATCACTAATGTGAGTAGAAGCTGACTAAATGCTAGTCCATAGATAGAATCAGTTGCTAGAAGGCAGCCTCGAAATTGCTTTATTTTCCAAATTCCTGGTTCTACTATTTAATACATAATAAAGAGTTAAAATGTGTTAATACAGATGTATAAGTGTAAGCATTCTCTACATTCCATCCTTCGACGTAAAATTGTCTTATTTATCTTAAAAGCTTGCTGAAAGACGCCTATACACACAAAAAAAAACTTCGTAAAATCAACTGTTATAATTGTCAATCAGTCCCCAACCACACAAAATAGTCAATTCTACTAAGTAAATAGTTACTTTCACAACAACAAATGCACACAATTAGCAAGGACACACACCTATATCCTTCACAAAATTGACAATTTTTTGTGGTTGGGGTCTTTTTGACAATTTTTTTTGTGTAGAACTCTGTCACATATTTTAAGACACATATTTTTCCTTGTATTTTTTTAAAGTCTGTTCACCGCTGAAAATTGGTTGTGAATAGGTACGCACACAAAAAAAATTGCTTAGTAAAATTGACCAACAAAGATAGTTACGTAACTATTAAAATAGTTACGTGTATTTTGTTTTTGCTTTGGGTTTGTGTCTTTGCTAATTGTGTGTATTTTGTTGTTGTGAAATGACTATTTACTTAGTAGAATTGACAATTTTGCTGGTTGGGGCCTGTTTGACAATTATTACAGTTGATTTTACCAAGTTTTTTTTTTTGTGTGCAGGTGAACAAATTACTTAAATGGCTTATAAGCTTTATTTGACTTAAATTGGGATTTAAATTGTTGACATAGGTATCAACAAATTGAGTATAGACTCTCGAAATCAAAACATTAACATTAAATGATCAATAAAATACACATTCATATGTCATTATTAATCGACTGGTTGATTCTTTTTAGATGGAGAACCACCCATTCACGGTGATCGACAACATGGCGAACACCTCTCTGTTCGCCAGAAACGCCATGAAGGAGTGCCTGCAGCATGTGGAGCAGGATAAGTGGAAGAGCTTCACTGCCTACGCCGACTATCCCGTCACTGAACCGATTCCCTGCTACTCCCGGTGCTTTCTCGACAAGCTGCATCTTTTCGATGAGAAAACGCGGCTCTGGAAAGTGGGGGCCATGAGGCAACATTTGGGCGTTCCAGCCAGAGGAGCAGTCATCAGGTCGTGCCACCTGCAGCGTGGCAAGGACCGATGTGCCACCTACTACAAGCAGTTCACCTGCCACGCCCTGGCCTAAGCAATCGCCTTTTTAAAAATTAAACAAATGGTTGTTTAAATAAATGTAATACATTCCAAATTAATTTGATCATATACATGTCCGAAAATAAAAGGTTTTGCGTTTTTAAATAATTTTGGGCTAAAATTCCAGGACACTAATACCATCAAGACTGCGCCTTAGGCTCCTCCGCCAGCTCGTTTCCATTTACTCGTTCCCAGCACTTGTACTCGTCGTACATCCAGGAGCACTTGTTCACCGCCTCCTGTCGCACTTTCTCGCTTAGGCGGCAGCCACTGTAGTCCGCCCTGAGGGACTGATCCTCCTTTGCGGAGGGGCCGAATGCCTGCAGCCAGTTGTCCAGTCGCCAGTTGCCAGCGGAATCATAGAAGCTCATGGCATCGGCGAAGCACTGGAAGAGGCACGTGATGGGTTCCTTGGCCTTCAGCTTACTGTACTGCAGCAGCTCCACGTTGGTGGCGTTCAGCTGGCGGGAACACCGCAGGAGGGTGCTCAAGCTGGTGCCCGCGTGCATCTCGGCCTGCTTGAGGCACCTGAGTCCCCGGTAGGCGAAACTGCAGCCGTCGGAGGCCACCCGTCGCAACTCGAACCTGCAGTAGTTGTAGATATCTGCGCCCAGGTCATCGGTCAGCCGCTTAAGCTTCCACTTGTTGGCCTCGCTGTCGAACCAGCCCTTCTCCCTGGCCAAGCAGCGCATCAGGCAGGGCACCTCCTCCCGCGTCCACGACGGATACCGCTCCAGCTTCTGAAGGTCACCGGCGATGTTATCCGGCGAGCTCAGCTCCCGCAGGCACTTCTCCAGCGTCTGGGCATCGCCAGACAGATCAGCCAGAACCTAAAAAGTACAAAGTGTATTATGTAAAATAAAGTTCAGAAGCGGTTGAACCGTTTAGAACTGCCGATGAAAACAAGCTTTCAAAATGTGATTTCGAGAGAACGCACTTAAACATGTCACACACATCTGTGTGCTCCATAGAGCATTTTAAAAGGTGTTCAAAGGTGTATATCCGCCAAAAATTGACGAACTTCCATTCTGTTTTAACATTTTGCTTAAGACTAGAAAAAACCCGCCCCCTGGGAAGTTTTTTTTTTATTTTAAATATTTTATTTATTTTAGTTATTAACTAAAAAGACGGACATAGCTAGATCGACTCGTCTAGTCATGCTGATCAAGAATATATATACTTTATAGGGTCGGAAACGTCTCCTTCACTGCGTTGCAAACTTCTGACTGAAATCATAATACCCTCTGCAAGGGTATACAAATTAATATCTTTGTTGATTTTTATTACATTCTCTTCTACTCTGGGATATGTCTATTTTTAAATATTTTCGAATTTCGATTTTAATTTTAAAAAGATCGAACTACTATATCATATAGCTGCCATAGAAACGATCGAAAAACAAGAGAGAACGCTATAGTCGGGTGCCCCGACTATCAGATACCCGTTACTCAGCTAAAGGGAGTGCGAAGGAGATGGAGATAAAAACTTTGATCCACTGTAACTTGTTAACTCCAACATAACAAATTTCTTCTACATTTCGATAGGTACTGATAAACACCATAAAACTGCATTTTTACTTTTCCGAAATATTGAAATTTTAAAAATCGTATATAAGCGATTGTAGGCATTAGAGGGGGCGTGGCACCCTTTTGAAACAAACTTGCACTGCGTAGGAACTGCATGCAAAATGTAAATCTTCTAGCTTTTATAGTTTCCGAGATCTCAGCGTTCATACGGACAGACAGACGGACAGACAGACAGACGGACATGGCTATATCGACTCGGCTAGTGACCCTGATCAAGAATATATATACTTTATAGGTTCGGAAATGCTTCCTTCTAGCTGTTACATACTTTTGCACGAATACAATATACCCTTTTACTCTACGAGTAACGGGTATAATTAATGTGAAATAATAGGAAATTTAACATTTTGCCGATTTGTAAATTAATAAAATGATCTGCAAGGGTATATAAGCTACTTTATTATCCTTATATCACTGACACATGTCATATTATATCTCTTGAAAATAAGGAAGCTACTTTCACCGACACAATCTTTTTAATGACGAGCTCACTGGCAACAGAAACAAAGTGTTCAATTGATAAGAATGTTTGTCTAAATAATCGGTTCATTTTTATGATGAAATATTTTTTCAAGTGAATTTGCCATTAAAATAGCAACAAGTATTAATTTATAGATTATTGATATTCTTCGTTTTTCTGATTCTTAGGCATTAAGCGCTATATGCAAAATACAAGTAATGCTGGATTCTGTTCTTACCTTAAAATTTTTTAGAAGAAACCGTTAAATAACTGGTAATTAGAAGCGTTTTTAACCTAATATTCTCGATCAGGCTAATTTCCCAAGACGATCTAGCCATGTCAGTCTGTCTGTCAGTCCGTCAATGAGTAAAGAACGAAAATCACAATTGTTTAATTTTTGAATTTTATGGAATTTTTTTGAATTTACTAGTGCCAAGTTCGCTTGAGATTTATACGATGCATTCTGAGTCGCCTCACCTTGCTGGAGACCAGGAACAGACTAAGTAAAATAATCCACAGGGAACTCATCTCTCTGCGGGCAATGCACAAACTGAACTAGCATCGAAAACATCCGCCCGGTCGAAGTCAACGATGCAGCAGAGTGGAGGTTATCAGCGAGTCGTGATTACGCCGGCGGGTTCAACGAATTCTAGAACGCCAGTTCATCCGCCGGAGAGTGAACGTAGATGCACAGAATAGAATCGATAGCGCGTGGCCCGATCGCCTTGGTCTAGGTCAGTTTTACTCGGACTTTGAAAATGTAGCCTGACTTTGGTTTTAATAAATCTGACTAAGCCTGGGAAAAGTATAACAAACAACGCAATTAAAGCTCGGAGGCTGTGAAACCTTGTTTGCTATGCAATTAGTGAAAATGCTAACTTGTTATCTTCTAAAAATAAACGAAACAGTTATTCAAATACAAAAATGTTGTAAACTTGTATTCTTATTATATTCTTATTATACCCGTTACTCGTAGAGTAAAAGGGTATATTGTATTCGTGCAAAAGTATGTAACAGCTAGAAGGAAGTCGGAAACGCCCCATAAAGTATATATATTCTTGATCAGGGGCACTAGCCGAGTCGATCTAGCCATGTCCGTCTGTCCGTCCGTATGAACGCTGAGATCTCAGAAACTACAAAAGCTAGAAGGTTGAGATTTCCCACACATATTCTTGGGCCTCCTACTCAGCGCAAGTTTATTTCAACCCCCTCTAACGCCCACAATCGCCCACTAACGATTTTGAAATGTGTCCTGCGCCCACATCTTTAAAGATTTTCGAGAAGTATAAATGCAATTTTGTTGTGTATATTTATACCTATCGAAATGTAGAAGACATTTTTCAAATCGGACTATTCATTAAAAAGTTATACGCAATCAAAATTTATGTATCTATCTCACTCGCACTCTCTTTAGCTGAGGTTCGAATATTAAATAGTCGGGACACCAACCCGAGTCAGCGTTCGCACTCCCTTTAGCTATGTTACGGGTATTAGATAGATACAGGGGTGGTCAAAAGTATTTTCACAAATGTTAATGTTAACTGTACTTATATCTTGAACTTATAATATAAACTTTTGGCACCTATAAAAAGAGCACTTCAATTCCGTTTAAATGACACAAAAATGTTCTTAGCCCATTAGGACCCCTTTGAAAAGTGAGCAAATTTTGCGAAAGTCAAATTTTTACCTTTTTTTCTGGGGCCTAAAACAAAAATGTTTTGATGCAAAGTTGTTCCCCAATCAAAACCCATTAGGACCCCTTTGAAAAGTGAGCAAATTTTGCGAAAGTCAAATTTTTACCTTTTTTTCTGGGGCCTAAAACAAAAATGTTTTGATGCAAAGTTGTTCCCCAATCAAAACTAATTATACCTGCAAAAAAAAATTTTTCAAAATATTTTTCCTTGTATTTTTTATGATTTTTTGAATGGAGACCTCTCAGTAAAATTTTGTATGAAACGGAAGAAAAAGCGGCAAAAATAGCTGTTTTTTAAAAAAATCATAAAAAATACAAAGAAAAATATTTTGAAAAAATTTTTTTTCAGTTATTATTAATTTTGATTGGGGAACAACTTAGCATTTAAGCCCCAGGAAAAAAGTTGAAAATTTGACTTTCGAAAAAAAATGATCTAATTTGCCCACTTTTCAAAGGGTGCTTAATGGGTTAAGAAAATTTTTGTGTCATTTAAACGGAATTGAAGTGCTCTTTCCATAGGTGCCAAAATGTTTATATTATAAGTTCAAAATATGAGTACAGTTAACATTCAAATTTGTGAAAATACTTTTGACTACACTCATAGAAATTTTTACCCTAAATCGCCCTAAAAAACTGACTTTTCGCCCGTGGATTTAGAAAATCGCCCATAAATCGTATCCGCTGGCGATTCGCCCGTGTATTTAGAAAAATTTTCTAAAAAGTCCCGATGGAAATTTGGTTTAATTTAGGGTGATTTTTCTTGAAATAAGAAATATTTTCCTGTTTTTAGGGTGATTTGCCCTAATTTTAAGGTGTATTTTTTTAAAATTAAGGGCGAATTTTCTGTTTTTAAAGGCAAATGCCCTAAAAAATTATGCAAATTAAAAAAAATCGTGTTTGAGCATGCTTAACTGAATTTGGGAAGCATGAATTTTAGTCGTGTATATTCTGGGAACTGGGACTGCTTTAATTAAACAACACCGGCGGAGGACACCGTTTCATATGATTGTATTGGTGTGTAGCTTATATGGGAGCCGCGTTAAGAGGGGGCCCGATCTATACAGCACAGCCGTTAGAACTGAAAAATCATGTTTGTAAATGAATTAGGGAAATGAATATGAGGAGAAAAAATAACTTACTTTTTTTGGTCATTGCGAGACTCGAACCCACGACCTCTCGGTTTAGAGTCTAACGTCCTACCGCTGCACCACAGACCCCTCGCGCAAGACGACGAACAAACTCTGCACACATCTTATTTTCTTGAGGTCTACGTTATAATATGACTAAAGGCAACTAAACCGTATATTTTTTTTCCTGACGACTGTGACAATTTGTCCTCAGTATTATAATGTTTACAAAAAAAAAAACATAAAAATCAAGTTGAATCACACAGGGTTCGAACCCACAACCCCACGACCTTAGTCCTCATATAGCAAAGTTGAAAGGGCAAGTGATTAGACCGCTGGGCTACCGAATTTCACACTTTTGGAGTGATTTTTATGGCGAATCGCACTTGTATTTAGAAAAATTTTAGAGAAAAAATTAGGGCGATTCGCCGTTGGATTTAGAAAAGGTCAAAACGAAGCAAATCGAAAAAAATCGCCCTAAATATTAGAAAAATAGAAAAATTAACCCTAAAAATATTTTTTTATGGTCACCTGCCTTAAATTTATGGCAAATTTGTCGTAAAAATAGAAAATTTTTCTCAGTTCAAAGGCGAAAAATTTTTTAGGGCGATTTTCTAAAATGTAGAAAATTATTTTTATGAGTGTAGGGTTGTATAGCGTTCTCTCTTGTTTTTATAGTGTAGAAATGGCAGCCTTGGCCCAAGAACATCGAAATTAAAATTGTAATCTACACTACAACTACTTTGTCTTTGATTGTTAATATTTATTATAATAAAAGACAATAATTTCTCTGATAAATGGATAACTTCTTTAGCTCCCAATAAACGCCGAAAAGACTCACTTAGACAAAATGATCGACCGTTCAAAATGCGTTTCACTGATCGTAGCAAAAGAAACTCGGTTGAGAAGTAAAAGAATTCGAGCATTGAAACTTGAATTTCATTTATATGCTAAGAAAAAATAATATTAAGATATGATAAAAACTTAATCACGAGGACGACGAATGTGCTAAAAGAGGTGCTAACTTTACAATAAATAAATCAATCAAATAATTTGTACTGTACGGTTTGCTTCTGGTATTATGTCATAAGTTTTTATAAGTTTTTTTACGTCCCTACAAATGTTTAAAAATGGGATAATGTACTGAAATATTTATCAACGATAAAATATTGCTTAGAATAGTCCATAGATTGGGGGAATGTAACGAGTTGCCCCCAAATCGACAGACCCTAATGTAAGTATTAAATGAATTGAATCTGGAAACTTAAAACGTTTATTTTGTTAGTACTTTTATAAATATCACCAGTTTACAAAAAAAAAATATGTTTTCCTGTAAAATACGTCTTATTGATTAAGAAAATGGCACTTAACATTTTTTTTATTGAGCAACTTTTTTTTTAAGTCAAAAAAAACGTTTTTGACACTTTTTTAATTTCTAACTTGAGTTGTGGTAAACCGATTTCAACCGCAAAAAACTCATTTTACAGGTAACAGAATGCCCTCCAACTTTCTTATAGACTGCATTGAGTTCAATTCATTGGTTTAGAAGCTACACTTCGTGTAGAAAAAATTCAAAAATGCTGGCATAAATGGCTTCGTTAAAAATACACGTCTAAAAACCGAAATTATATATAAATAATTTTGTATGAAAACTAAAAAGGTTTATTTCTACAATATTCCTGGAAGTGTACAGTAAGATTGGGATCATATCACATTTCAATTAGGCGAAGACCTTGCGTACCACGTGTCGGTTTATGGGCAGCCAGCACGAGAATACTCGGTTGGCCCATGTACAGACGTCGGACTCGGCCTCGTTGTGATCGATGCACTTCTCCAGACCATGTTGCACCGTCGACAGGTCCTTGCTGCTCTTAGACGTAAACTGGGTAATCATGGCCTTCTCGTCGAAGCCTTTCTTCTCCGAGAAGAGGTCGAGCTTCTCCAAGAAGCACTTGACGAAGCAGCTGGTGCGTCGGTGGGCGGGGAACTCGTAGTTCAGGTACTTCTCGTAGATGTCCTCCGGCACGTAGAAGTCCTCGCGGCACTCCTCGAAGGCCTTCTCGGCGTCTCCGTGGTCCTTCAGCTGGAACTTGGCCGCCGTCTGCAAAGTAAGGAGGGGGTAAGGTGTCACCTCCATCAGCAAGGGCAACCATTGGGTACTGACCTGGGCCACCAGCAACGTGGCAACGGCTGCGATCAGGAGCGAGTGGGATTGCATTTCTGGTTCGGACGAGGGCTCAAGTGTGAATGTGCCAACGGGTTAAGCGACTAAGTCGCTCCAAGATTTTCCATTATCTTATATGCTCTCGTACGATGGCCCACACGAATTTCTCAGGTCGGACCTGATTGTGAACCGGAGCTGGCACAGTGAAACCAGGCTAGAAATACAACTGCCAGGGTGGTAAGAAAATCGATTACTTTTTATATTTTGATTAAAACAAATAACTCTTATTTCATTTTATTATTAGGTGGCTAATCTTTATATATTTATACCCTTGTAGAGGGTATTATAATTTCAGTCAGATGTTTGCAACGCAGTGAAGGAGGCGTTTCCGACCACATAAAGTATATATATTCTTGATCAGCACCAATAGCCGAGTCTATCTGTCCGTCTGTCCGTTTCTATGCGAACTAGTCTCACAGTTTTAAAGCTATCGCGATGAAACTTTCCCAAAAGTCTTCTTTCTATTGCAGGTAGTACATATGTCGGAGCGAGCCGGATCGGACCACTATATCTTAAGGCTATAGGAATATTCATAGAAATATAAGAAAATTCATTGTAACTTTGTAGGAAGTAGGCGTTTTGATTCTTGACTACTTAAAAACAAAATTTAAATAAATAGAAACGCTGAATCTGGAATCCCTGGAACTGCACCGAGTGAGCTTTCTTTTATCTCCAAGGGTATATAAGCTTCGGCTGGCCGAAGGTAGCTTCCTTTCATGTTTTATTAATATTTATGTGTAATTGTTAATGTCTTACTTAAACACCTTTTTTATTGATTTGGTTTTTAAAGCAACTAATTAATTGGTATTAATTTTTTTTAGCTACAAAAACATTAAACGCCCTTTTCAGTCGGAATGCATCCGATTCTCTTAGCCAAAGTCCACTGTGCTAACACACCAAACCCGTTGCTGAGTGGTTCGCTCTGATCGGTGGTGCGGCGGTGTCGCTTGGTGGTTGGCTCTTGTGGTGCGAATGGTGGTGTGGCACCCTTGCGTCAGTTTGCTCTTAAAAAACGGAGCAAGTAGATCGGCGGAGTTAAGTGAAGCAGTTGCCGTGGCGGCGGAGGGAAACTGGCAAACTGCAAAACTGGTTTGCCCGAAGTCGAAGTCGAAGCCGAAGTCGACGCCGCTGTCAACAGCATCGTTGTTGGGCTGAGCTGGGATATGGATGGTTATATAATCGGCAACGGTGCGGCCATATAATGGTTACGTTTTGCTTAAGCCAATTAAACGATTTGTTTTCGTTCCACAAATTCACTCGGCCTGTGCCACACATTTGTGTGGCTCTGAAAAATGTGCTTGGGCCCGTTTGCCATTTGTTGTTTTGGTTTACGGCACCTTTTTTTGCGCTGCACCAAATTCTAACACCTCGATGTCAGCTTGCAGCACACTTCCGCATCCCGGACAAATTTTTTTCGCACATTTATTTGCCGACCTGCCACACACAGAAGGGGCCGAGCTGAAAAAAACACTTTGTTTGTTTACTGCTTTTTTGTGTCACGCTCCGGCAGCCCCCGAAAATAAATTAAATAAATTATTCAATTGAATTTATTTATTACCAACCAATTTGGCCGCTCAACAGACTTTTGCATTTGTGTAATTAACGACAGTTCGTGGAATATTGTGGAATATTGCCCAGATTGCAAAAGGGCCTTTTGGCCAGGTCGGAATATGGCGAGTCGATTCCATTTGCCCACTCAGCCAAACATCCTGGCCCATCGTGGCCCTCAAGCTACGTCCGTTTTGTTTGGCTTTTACTTTCGCGGCGTGTCAATGACATTGGTGTGGGCTCTTGAACCCATCGAAGAGGGACGAGCAAGCCTGCAGGATGCACTCGAAAAAATCTTTATTTTAGACAACATAATCTGGCTGAAGTGCGGCATTAATCTAACTTAAAATTTAAATTCAATTTTTTTTATTTTTATCCTAAATGTATATTGGAATTTATTGTTTAGGCTTTAGGAATAATCGTTTTAATTTAAAAAATGTTTGATTCGCATCAAAAAAATATTTGATTGAAAACTAAGATGTTATTACTTAAAATAATTTTAAAACCTCATAATAATCTTGCTGGGCAGTTTAAATATATTAGTCATGCTCCTTCAAGATTTAATCTTAAATCTTAATGTTCAACATGCATTACAGTACAGTACATTACAGTACAGTACAGTAGTTGCACCCCGTTCTTTAAGTGCGACCTCCGTGTTGGCTGAAACAAAAGTAAAGGGCTCCCTAGGGCATAACCTTGGCCCACGTCTTTACTTGGGATTATCGCAAGTGTAAAGTGATACTCCCAATATGTGAAAGCAATCCGGTATTTTAATCAAATAATTGGGCAAAATTCAGTCGTAGCCTGAACATGACTGCCCAGAAAATAAATTTTAAAAATTCGACATATATCATGCTATCAGTAAAACGCAAAGGTCTTTGCTGATAATGTATACAAATGACATTAAGCATTTTCTGACGTTATTTCCTAGCTACGTTTCGTATATGAATGATGGATGCATTCTATTTGAACACCATTATTTAAGCTTAGCTCCCGTTTACATGCCAGTTACTACTATCGAAATTGACCGGAAGCCAGAAGCAGTCTCGCTCTGGGAAATAAAAAACAAAACAAAAATGTTAGTGCAGTGCAAAAATTTAAAATAAATATTTAAATTTTTGGAAACGTCAACACACGGCAGTTTTGCGGGGCCTGCCAACCCCAGTCAACGGCTTTCCCCACGTCTAACGTGAATGCCATTTTTTGGCTTGGTTTTCGTTTTAACTTTTGCTGCCATAAATTGCACCAAAGTGCAGCTGCCCCGCCGGCATGTATTTATTTAAAAGTGCTAAAATATTTGCAAAACGCTTCACAATTGCATTTCGCCCAGGACCGATCACCATTCCATCCGCGTCCTTTTTCACCACCTGCCGAGGGCGTGGAATTTTTTGCTGGCGTGCAAAAAATATTGAATATATATCAAATGCCTAAGCCCGCCACTGCCCCCTTCGATAATTGCGTTAATATGCAGTAAACAAAAAAATGCCAACAATATTTAATTAAATACCAGTCAGGGCATAATTGATTTTTCAGCTCAAATGCTGAAAAAATGGAAAACCACATGAGCTGGCCAGCTCGGTAATGGAAACCAACTACTAAACAGAGCCTACTGCAAAAACTGGGCAACCAAAATCAGAGTTGCGGTGTGTTTTGTGTGCAGGATTTACGCATGTTATAATTAGGTCAGTTCCTGATTGAATTTGGCCCATTCGATCGGAAAATGGGAGTTGCGAGCCCCGACTTTAAAGCATTCAGGAGCTACGCCTCGCTGGCCAGCGAGTAAATATCGTAGAATTTTATTATTGTTATCCCAGAGTGTCCTCGAGAGCACAAACAACTTCCAGCTCAATTAAAAAAAAAGACACAGAAACAACAGAGCAACGAAAACAAATGCCAAAAAGTTAGTAGCAAAAAGCGCACGATGCTCTGAGTGTTTTTCAGTTTTCTCCGACAGAGTACAACCAAATGTAAATTCAATTGCCGGCTGTGCGCCACAGGATATCCGGCTGGCAGCCATTTTTAGGCATATCGCATGCCTTGGCCGGCCAGCAAACTAAACAATAAAATTTCATGGCCTTTGGCCCGAAGTGCAGCAGAAAGAACAACACTTGCTGGCCAATACGCTCTTCCAATAACCGCGAGGGGTCCCAGGTCCTATTCTTGCACCCCAAGCCAGGGCCAATGTCTATAAATCACAAATTGAGCTGCGGTGTCCACTCACTTTGGGCAGCCCCGTCTCCGTCGCCGTTGCCGTCCTGTCGGTGGCTCGTATATTATGAGCTCATATTAAAACATTTTACACACAATTTCGCCTGCAGTCGCCTGGGAAGCTGTGGCAGCCTCCACTTCAGGCATGAATTATTATGCACCTAGGCGTATACGCAATGTTTAATTTTCAACTCGAGCAACGCGCTCTCTGCTCACATAAATTCCTAGGGCGGCCGACAAACGACTTGTTCAATTTCTCCCCACATCCACATATATATTCCCATCCTGGGCTTGTCCCCTCACGAACTAGACACGGAAACATCTAGGCTACACATGGAGACATTATAGTGATATCATGGGAAAGTCTGGAAATAAATTTTACATTTTCCTCATATTAAGAATACTTAAAAATATCTTGAGTCTTAGAAGGCAGTCAAAGCTAAATCGGAATAACTATTTTTGAAAATTGAATTTTCAATGGAAGTGTGCAATAATTAATAGAAAATACCACATAAAGCATATCGAGCTCTTTAATTTACTTGGTCTGTAAAACACTTATTTAAATCATATTACCCATGGAAAATTCAGGGCGGACTAGATAAGCATTGAAGTAAAAGTACAATATTTTTTCGAAGTGCACGCTGCAACTGTGTGAGCGCAAGAAACTATGTGAGGGAAGGGCTGCCACGGGGAAGTGACTTTTTTGCAAGGACCAGACTACTGCTGATGGCGGGCCACGTACACATGTCGAAAACTAACTGCAGCCGCCGCTGTCCTTGCCGCCCCTCCATTCTCCCATCGCCCTCGTCTTCCTGCCCTTCGGTCCTCGTCATCATCAGGAGCTGCAAAAATTTCAGCCATTTGTCCTGCATGCTTGCGGCATAAAAATATGCCAGGGCCAGCATTTTCATGCGGGTCATCTACTTGGAACCCGGCTCCCTGGAACTCCATCTCCGATTCAGATTCCGACTCCTACTCCGAATGCAGCTGCAGCGCCCGAAAGTCAGGCCACGTGTGTGTCTGTGCCCCCAGAGAGTTTTTGGGTTTTTTCGGGGCCAGCTTCTCTGCTGCAACTTTTCGGGGCAGGGCAAAAATCACACAGAACTGGGCAAAAATAAAACTACTCCTAGTTGGCTGGAAAATAACAAAGGGGCGAGCGAAAGGGGCGTTTAGCAAATGGACTCTGGCCGAAAATGCTGCTGGCACTTTTGCAAAACATTCCGAATACAAATAAAAATCCAAGGCATGTGAGTCACAGCAATCATTTCCAATGCAAAATAAAATTTCATTTT